TATTGTAAGGATATTGTATTGTAGTACTTCAAGAATCTAATTCGTTGAAAATTCTTCTTAGGAAGTTAACCCTTGAAGTTAATAGTTGTGTCTTCTCTAGAACTTTAGTTGATACGGTATATGAGACAGGTCAAAGTATATTGACTATAAGCAACCATTATTGACTCGTATGTGAGTAAGGTCGAGACATATGTGTATAAAGTGACTAATTGAGTAAAGTAAGAGGTCGAGGATTTAGTCCCTAACTGCGTATCAGAAGAGTATAGTATTTGAAAAGTAGTCAGTTGACTAATTTCATAAGAAGCTTAATATCACAAGCTAATGTGATATACTCACACCTAAACTATTCTACCCTAACAAAAATACTTGACTTCTTAATTTGAGTGATGACATCCGAGAAACCATATTGTTAAGGATTGGTATTCAATTCGTTGTTGATCTAATTAGATTGAAAATATTGATTTGTTGATTCGAATGGATCAAATAACTTAAATTGGTCACTTGTGTTATAGGAATCTCTAAATTGAAATGCGTGATGATACATATAATTATTGTGTTATCACTACTACAAAAGCACTATTCTACATCGGTTCTGGAAGGATAGTTTCTAAGTTGGGTATTTCAATCTTGGTTGGAAAACTTAAGCAGATTTTTTTGCTAGTGATTTTTCAAAATAAATTTTCTCTTCTAAAACAAGTTAAGTAAATTTGTTTTCAGTCTAGAAGGTTTTATCGTCCAAAGAAATAAAACAGTTTCTCATTTTAAATGATCAAGTGTGTTTTCATCTAATAGTTTGTTGAAAAGAAAGTGGATGAAAGAAGAAGTAAGTCGTGTTGAAAAATAAGAAGAATGCTTAGATGTTTATACTGATTCACTCAATCTGAGCTAAGTCCAATCTCCTTCAACCGAAGGGTTCCACTAATCACAAAAGATTATAAGTATTCTCAACCACTTCTGGCTCGTCAACTTGACGCTAGTATTCTCAACCACTTCTGGTTCACAAGTATTTTTGACCACTTCTGGCCCGCTAGCTTCACTCACTAGTGCTAGTATTCTCAACCACTTATGGCTCGTCAACTTGACGCTAGTATTCTCAACCACTTCTGGTTCACAAGTATTTTCGACCACTTCTGTAAATATTTCTCAACAATTAACAAGGGGGTGTAGGTAGTGTGGGAGGAGAGTTATAGGGTTAGAGTGATAAAGAAGAAGCGTATTTGAATCTTCTCATCAATTATAACTAATTGATTACTAAATAAAAAAAACTTTACAATTCCAAAATGATTTGGAAATCAATATTCATGACAAAAACAAACAAATTAATTGCAGCAACCAAACTAAATAAACACTAAAAGTTTTATACATGGCTTATGTTTAATATACAAATTCCTTACATTACTCGGGCAGATATATATTGGCATACACTTCGACCATTCAATTCTATAAACCTCAAGTTAACAACTAAATAAATTATTTCACCACAAATCAATTCAAAGCAATATTCAAGTATTGCTTTTAAAACTAAAAAGAAAATATGTTGAAGATCGTGTATGAGGATGAAGATGGTTTGAAGCACAAGTGTTTTGTAGATTAGAGTGTTCTTCGATCAGTTGTACAAGGGTGACTACAATTTCAGATGTTTGGTGGCAGATTTCTTAATGTGATGGTAAGTGGGCTATTCTATTCATGCTAACCAAAGTAAATTCATTGAATGAGATGGGCTTTCAATTATGCTGCTGACTTTTGTGAAGTTGCATATTACTTCAAAATGAAAACATTTGCAAAGTATAGGGTGGGGTGGAGTTATGGATTTCTCAAATATGTGTCTATAGGAAAATTTTATGTTGTGTGTAAGTCAACGTTTTGTGGGAGTGGGTATCATATATGGAAGGAGTTGACAAATATTTAAAATGTTGCTTGTACATGGTTTTGGATGATAGTTGTAAAGAAGTTGGGCCTTCTGTCCAAAATCTAGTAGAGTAGTAGTCAACATAAATACTTATTCTTTACGCACAATGATGAAAGAATATATAAAAAATATCATAAAAAGATTGAAAAGAATTACACATTTATTTAATATGATTTGATATGTCCACAATAATAATTCATTGAATATTCATTATCTTAAATATATTTAATGTGATTTCATCCTCATACTTCAATTCAAGATAATATTTCATATAACATTTTTTTAACTTATTGAAAGAGATAACTCCTTATATAGACTTAAATAATTTTTCTTATTTCAAAAATCTCTATTTATTGATCTTGTATCCAAATCTTAAAGAAGGAAATAAAATCTCTAAAATAAATACAATACTTTACTACCTCCATCCTTAATTCTGAGACCCTTTCAACTAAATTATACTCTTTAAGAAAATTGATTTAGTTAAAAGCATGTCAATAATTTAAACTACTTTTCAAACATTAACCTTATCTCTTTCTATTTAATCATTTCTAACTTAATTAATTAATGTTTGGAAAGAGAATAATGTCAAATTAGATGAGATAAATATTTATGTGTCTAGTTATCTTTCCCAATCCTAATAAAAGAGAGGTGTTGTCCAATTAATTTTAAACATTTATTATTTTTTGTCTAAAAATATTATTAATTAAATAAGTATTATAAAAATATAATTAATTCAACTGATAATTAGAAAAAAGACTTATAATAAAAGATAATTTTAGACTTATACTCATAGTTTTAAAAACTGGACCGGCCATCAAACCGGTTAGGGTACTAGGTCAGTGGGTCAGAGGTTGAACCGATGAGTCACTAATTAAACCGCATGACCCGATTTTCATTAATTTTTCTAAAAAAAATATTCATGTTAAATATATGTTATACTTATAAATTTTAATAAATTCATATCCTATCTTAAATTTCAATTTTCATCTTATTTAAAATTATCTTTATTTTTATTTTATATAAAAAATTATTTTTTTTTGTTGAACCAGTTTGACCCACTGGTTCGACCAATCGGTTCACTGGTTGAACCGAAAATTTGACCAGTTCACTCCGGTTTGAAACGGGTCGAATGCATAACCGATCCAACTCAAGATTCGGACCGGTTGGACCACCGGTTCCCGATTTAACCAGTCCAATCGGCCGGTCCGATCCAATTTTTAAAATAATGCTCCTAACCATAGTTTTAAAAACCAGACCGGTCATCAAATCGGTTAGGGTACTGGGTCAGTGGGTCAGAGGTTGAACCGGTGAGTCACTAATTGAACCGCATGACCCAATTTTTATTAATTTTTCTAAAAAAAATATTCATATATGATGTTGACTTGTGATGAGATATGTTATTGTGTTGTAACTTGAGGTGTTGATATTGTGTTCTTCAAGTTAATAATATGTTGTATATGAAAGTGGTAGTAGTTGATGATACGTTGAACAAGTTAAGTGAGTATGTGGATAGAGTAATTGCTTTTACTTCCATACTCTCTTTGTTGATTATTTCAAACACTAATTTACCTTTTGAGTATTTTCATTTAATTAAATTATAATGATCAGTTTTTATATGAGAATAGAGTAAAAATAGGTTTCTTATGAAGTCTTTTGGAGACTTTGCTAGATGGAAATATTAATTTTGGGCTACCTTAAAATAGCTAGTCTAGTAATTATTAGTTGATTATAGTATATTTAACTGATTATTAGGATTGCTATTTTGGTATTTAGATTATTATATACCCTTATATACTTATACAAAATTTTATTCTATAGTTATTGAAACCTTTACAATGTATATATTACAATATCTATTTTCTACATATACCTTAAATAATAATTTTAGGTAAATAATTTTAGGGACCTACCTAATAAATCATTACAATTTCACCTATATTTCATTATATTATGTGATACTCTATCATGACTTCAATCATAATCAATTATAATATAATATGTGATACTTTATTATGACTTCAATCATAATCGAATAAAATATGATATTTAATTACGTAATAAGCTAATCAAATATAGTGAATAATTATACTTAATATTAGATTATATTACTTTTAATATTAACTTATGAAAGACTATCAAATTATGTTACTTATATTACATTATGCATAAAAAAACAAAAAATCACACTCACCAATTTTTAATAAACTATCACCCTAATACATAAAAAAATTAAAATAATAATTTTATATATTATTTTTCTTACATTAAAATCTAATTAAATAAAATATAATTTTAAAATATCAATTCATTCTAAATCTCCTCTATCCATCAACTTCAATGAATTCTCATACTCTATTTGACTTCCTCACCTTCTATCAAGCATAAAGTATCACCACTATCATTGCTTACCTCGAGACCACCACCTAGCAATTTCTCTCACCATTGCTGCTGCAGTACCACCAATTAAGCCCTGTATCATTATAACTGATTGTTTTAATGTTAAAAAGTTTCAAAAACTATCAATAACCCTAAACATGTCATAAGAGTTTATAAATTAATGAACCCTGTTTATATGGGTTTAGTATTATCCCGATTGAATTTTATCAACTTTCCCGTAAATTGAAAAATCTATACATGTCAGGTTAAAATGATCAATCCGAACAATATGATAATTTTCACTACCCATCATTAGCAAGTTGGCCGTAGCCAAAGGGTATCTTATGATAATGCCACAGATAGATGGATTCTCCACATTAAATTAAGTGAACCCTTTCAAGTTTCAACCGTTTCCATAACCAACATAATTATGATTGAATGCTATTGTGCTTTAAAGTACACATCATAATACAACAGGCAAAGGTGGCCATAGATTTTTACCCTTTCACAAAATAAATTACTACATGGTTCAAATTTCATTCTCTGAAGTACTTTTTGCAAAAGCTCAAGGGACCAGTAAAAACGCGTGGTCCACTGCGAAATTGTAAGCAATATTAGAGCATGTAGGGTACGTTAAGGGTAGGACGGTCCTTCAAACTTCAAAATTAAAAGTTCCCTCATTCTCATCATGATGGCAAAGAAAAATAAACGAACGAAAACAAAAAACAGATAAAGGTCTTTCATTTCACAATTTCACCACCAAAAAGTTTGGTGTATTCTAATCCATCGACAAAAAGGATGATTCATAATAATAATTCTTTCAACCCAAGTAAGAAAAACAGATGAATGAAAGAAGATTAAAGAAAAAGCCTAAACTATATACAAACGATAAATAGGAGAAGTGAATACTTTGTCTTTATCCTCTATGAAATATCATATCATGTTGTATATATGATATGTAATAAAAACCCACAAAAAACCAGATCATGAAGAGGCAATCTGATGGGCCTGCGCCTGGGCCTGGCCAGTAGGGAAGGGCAATATTCTGGGCTTGCTGAGAGACAACTCCACTGGGATTTGTGAACCGTTGTTAATGTTGGAAGTTTGGTTAGTGGTGGTGGAATTTGTGGCAACCCTTTCACAAGAGGGACACATTGTGAGAGTGGTGGCTGGAAGCTGCATGTAGAATGGTTGAGAAGTTTTCAACGCTCTCAGTTCTTGAAGCTCCTTTTGCAACCTTCTATTCTCTTCTGTTAGTGTCTCACAACATCTCTTCAAGTACTCACAATCCACTTCCGTTTGCTTCAACTTTGTCCTACAATCCGACCAACATCAAACACAACACATAACAATAATAACAAAAACCGCTACTAAGGTCGTACTTATTAACCATCTTACCTTGCCCTTCTGTTCTGAAACCAAACCTCCACTTGCCGAGGTCGGAGATTCAACTGTTTAGCCAAAGCAAGTTTCTGCTTCTGCAAGTAAGGTCAAAATTCAAAATTAAAAATTTTAACAAACAAGTAAACAATAACTAGACCCTTTTTCATTTTATTCAAACTTATGAAAAAAAGAACCACTTAAGATTGTGCTTGTGTTGTGTGGACTTACGGGATTGAGAGTGGTGTGTTCTTTGAAACTTTCTTCTAGAAAAGCTGATTGTTCTTTAGAGAGTCTGAGTTTCTTCCGTGTTGAACCATTTTCTTCATCATCACTCACTCTACAACCCTCACCCTCGTGTTGCTCTCTCTTATTTCTTCCTCCAAACTCCGCATTACCGTTCCTTGTGCAGAAATCCATCTGAAACGGCGACACCGCGCTGTTCGGCGACGACAACGATGTCCCGTCGTCGCCGTCCTCCGCCGCCGCCGGAAAAAGGTTCACATCCAACACCCTCGCAGCCCCACCTGTTCAAAAAAATCATTTTAGAAGAAATCCCCTAAAAAAAACATTTTTTTTACTTCACTAAAGACTAATCTATGCTCCTTAATATTCCTTAGTACAAGTGTCGACTTAAAATAAAATTCAAACATTAATCTTGTGTTAAATAAATTGTCCCCACATGTTATATGTCTAACCATCACACCAATTCATTATCTTTGAACACAACACCTTTTGGCACAAAGTTACTAGTGTTATTCATTAAAAGAGATATTAACTAACGATGCGATCATATGAAGGGTGAGATAATTTTACATGCTTGGGTGAGCCAAGGGATTCGAAGCTGAGAAGGAGGTTGGGATCTTTGAACCGGAGTGAAAGGAAGAAGGTCAAGTTGAAGCGGTGGATCTGAAGAACCCCTTCTCTCATCATCACTTTTTTTCTCTTCAGAGCCTCTCCCCACAGTGAAACTCGGTGCCACACAGAACCCTGAAGCTTCTTTAGTGGGTAAAGTGAAAGACTTCGACGTGTCTCCTAAGCTCAAAGCCAGTTCCATGATGAAAAAGAGTTTTTGTTTGAGGTTGGAAGAAGGGTTGGTGTGTTTATGCGTTATGTATGTACGGAGAGAGAGTAGTGGTTGTTGTTGGTGGTGTTGGTGTTGGTGAATGGAGAAGGAAGAAAGTGCACATTGGGTGGTGAAGGAAGAATCAAGAATGAGAAACTAAACTCTCTCTTTTCTTTTCTTCTTTTTCTTCTTCTATTGTCTTGGATTCTACTGGTGAGACCCAACAACAACACTGCCTTTTTATTTGTGCTCGCTTGCCTTTGCGAGAATAAAGATTGACCGACAAACACAGGTTGACAAAGGCACGTGAATCTATTTAAATATTCAACCGTTCCTCATGCCCTTCCCCCACCACCACACTCCAAAAAAATATATGTATATCACCACCAAGATATTGGGAATTTCATTTTTTACCTTTTCATGTTTATATATAACGAAGCTTCGTGTATACTATCTCGTGGTATATATATATAGTATATACCCCAAGACAGAGAGAAAGAATTATCAGCTACCACAATGATTATGACTATATATGCTCACATATTCTTATTCTTATTTTCTATCACAAATTACAAATATTTTCATATTTGTTTTGTAGTCATATAGTACACTATTTATAAATTTAATTATTGTGCACACAGAGTGAAAATTGTACACTATACACAGTATTTTTCTGTTTTCGGAATTTAGAAATAATAATCAGCGGTTAGAAAAGCCGTCGGAGATTCTATAAAGAATTTTAAGAAAAAATGACTATCATAAAACTAGTCCCGTTTTGGATTCAATCGGGTTAGACTATTTATGTTTTTAATTTCATGGGTTGGTGGCAAGGCTTATTGTTGCAATAATTAAAAACAAAATTAAAACCACCTTAGATCTTTGTCTCCTATATTTTATTTGTTTATTATTGCATTTGCAAGATCTTCTACACTTCAAAAAAAGGAGGTATACACTTGTCATTATCCTAAATTTAATAACCCTAACATAATATAAAATTTTCAAGCAAAAAGTGGTATGAAGAAATTCCATTCTAGTGTATGTACGTACATTGCAAGTGAAGCAGGAAAAGTGGTATAAAAAATGTGTAGTCAATTTTGAAGGTGAGTTTAAGAAATTGAATGCTTTTCTTTTTAATAAGTCACCTACCCAAATTTAAGAGGGTGCACAAAACGAAAATACATATACTACTGCTACTATTATAGCGTGGTGGTGATGATGAGAAAGAGAAAATGATGTGTGATCTGAGAAACATGTCTGGGATTATAAACCTGCTCCTGTTGTCTTATTGATTAGCCAGTATATATGTTGGCCTCTCATCTATCGTCGCCATCATGCTTATTCTCATTCTCATTATGCATCGCAATATGATAAGAATGATGATTTGTCTTTGGTGTCCAATACAGAATCATGTGGGCTATATCTATTAAGGCATAAACAGTTCAACTGTACTGTTATCAGCCTTTTATTTTTCCATTTTTTTAATTAAAATTTGTGCAGTTATCGAGTTAAATAAAGAACAAGTGGAGTATATCTAGATTAATTAATTATTAAATGACTCATCAATTGAATTGAAATGAAATGTCCCTGCTAGCTTCCAGCTAAAGATTTTGAGGCTGCGCAAAGATCCTATTAGTAGTAGGAGTCTGGATATGCACAAAATATTTTAATGGCTTCTATTTTTCTATTTTTTAATGGAAACATAATATGATTTTGGTTTTTTGTTTTTTTCAATCGTGTGTGTGGGTTGGTTGCCAGTTGCCTTGATTGAAATAACACCACGGGTATAAAAAAAAATGGGAAATGCTGGATTTTTTTTTATAAATATTATTAATATACTTTTAACTATGATTTTCTATTCATTTTTGTTCTGGTTTGGTTTATAATAAAAATATTATTATTTAGTTCCTTAATTAGCAAAACCCTGAACTACTATAGTCTATATCAAAATGAAGTTCATTTGTATTATTAATAAAAAGATAAATGCATCACTTAACATGTCAATTTATTTATTGATTTATGATAAGGATATCCTAGAAAAAAAAATACAGTATTACTCTATCTAATAATGATATAAGAATATTATGTAGTACAATATTTCGATATAAGAAACCCTTATTAAATTTGAAAAGATAAAGCAAATTTCGATATTGTAAAGCTGGACCACTTTGGTTTTTTAATTTTACAAACCTTTTCACTTTAATAAAAATATCTTATACCGTGGTAGTAATATATTGCTCTTGTTTGTTCTTCAAGCTGTCTCTATGTCTGCATATACCTACCACCTAAAATACATTTGATTATCAAACAAAACATTTTTAATTTCAATATACAAAATCTGATTTCATTTTAGAAATAAGGCGTGATGCATGGGAAGAAAAACATAGTGAGAAAAGGTGGGTGAGATGATTAGCACGAGATTTGAATTTGACCCTATTGTGATTATAATAATGCATTGATTAGAGGGACAAACCGACCGGGTCTTACTATTCCCAGAAAAGTTTTGTGCTTTGAATCTCGGTTTGCGTTGGTTTAAGTAAGCAAATGAGTGTGTGGTTTATGAAAAGGGGAAGAAGCTAAGGTTGGTTTTGAATTGAATTGGGGCATCAAAAAGGGAGGTGTAAAAAGAAAAAAAAAATTGGTATCCAATGACAATGAGTCCAGAAAATGAGGGTTAAGAATTAAGATGAAGAGGAGAAGAGAAGAGAAGGGTTGTGGTCCCACGCGCGTGGTAATTAAAAATAGGCACACAGAGGAAATGAGGAGGGTCAGATATGTCATGCTTTTGGGATCATTGCAATAATTGAAGTCATGCAGGCTTTAATGATAAGCTGCAGAGAGAGATGCGTGAATTATTGGGTGGGACCCTCATTTCATGAAACGAACCATGCTATAAAGTGACCCTCTTGTAATAATTGTCCATGGAAATCGAATGTCAAAAAACCCACACTACCCCACTCCCCACCCCAACCGTGAACCTATCAAATCAACTCACACTTCCATCCTTCAATTCATCTAATGATATGTGGATTTGTTTTTCCATATACATATTGTTTCAAATTGTTAATACAAAATTGAAATTTCGGTTTTAATTTGGACATGAAATTATCATGGAAAATATCGGGTATGATTGATAAAAGAATCATACTTGTTATTGAACAAAATATTATAAGAAGGTGGATTTTAGACTTGACCAAAGTTTGAGAACATGAATTGATCAACTATTTTTAATATGTTCTCTATTTAACATTTTTTTTTTTTATTTTTATCTACTAGAGTTTAAAGTCACTCAAGCCAAAAGTTAATATTTCCTTTTTACCCAATAAAAACAGTTACAATAACAAATATGAACTTAATAATATACTATATTAACTTAAGATTTTCGCCACATGACTCTAGGATATATTTTCAATACAAAATTTATGAAATTACTTTTAAAATGACAAAGTAATTAAAGTTTAAAAAAATTTATATTCATAAATTTTTTTACTTATTTTTTCATTACATCATATCACTATAACAAAATGAACATATGAACTTTTAGTAATATTTAATATTAATTTTAGTGATAATAAAAATAACTGTAAAATCTTTTACCAGTATTTTTCTATTAATTATTGTATGTAGTATTGATAAAACATATACCAACAATTATTTTATATGTTGGTAAAGATTCTTATAATGATCGAGAAAAATGTACAAATTTTTGTGATAATTTTTGTTGATATTTAATATTTTTTTTACTATTGTCACTGAAAATTTAAGAAATGATTTATAACTTATATATTTTTAAATTATCTTATCTCTAGTCGATGTGAGACTTGTATAATAAAGGTTGTTCTCTACTTATATATTCTTTAATTTTATTATTTTTAGCTGATGTGAGATTTAGATTTTTCTTTAAGAAATAATTCTTAGTTTATATACTCTTTAATTGTCTTACTTGAATTTTTTCCAATACACCTCCTCAAGTTTAGGAATATTAAGTTTGGTAATAGTAGGTGATCTAATACTAACTTAAAATAGTAAATTATAGGTCTGATTCAATCTTACAAAACTAACTTATAAGATAAGAATTATCATCAACTTATATATTCTTTAATTATTTTATCTTTAGTCGATATATATAACTTAAGTTTTTCTTAATAAATAATTATGCTAATAATAAATTTTGGTATAATGTAGATATATTTTTAGTGGTTATTATATATATATTAGTCATTAATATTTTTATTAGATAATAAAATATAGACAATTAGTTTATTGTCATTAAATAGTTATCGTTATTAATAAATTGTTATAATATATATTTTCTGTTGAATGTAATTTTAAATTAAAATTTAAATAAAAACATAATAATTTAGACTCCTTAAACTACCTATATTTCTACTATAAATTTCAATATTATATTGAATTTGGGTTTTAGATTTATCTCGCAACTTATTACTTAAAAAAACTTTTATTTATATATACTATTTTAATCATTATATTTCATATATCTTAAAATCCAAAAGAAATAATATTTTATTATACAATTTTAATCATAAAAGAAATCTCCCCCGCTCCTCTCCGTATTCCACGAGCACAGTTATTAATTTCTCAATCATGCATAAGATTCCTCAGTTCAAAAATATCATCATTATTTTGTGAAAAATTATTTACAGTGTGACTGGCAGTGACTTGGTCAAACAATGAAACAACAACAATCACCCAAGAAATCAATTTGGCACGTTTCTAGCTACAAGATACTAACAAATCAATCTTGGGGCAAAACATGTTTCATTTGACTTCAAAACCATGCTGCATGGAGGGATCGAGATTCATGGCTTGATTATTCCATTATCAACCTACATATACTTATATTAATCATACATACAAAACGTTGAATGAGTATGGAGGTACCGAATCCAAGTTCTTGATTAATTAGTATAAAATCAAATTAAATTAAATTAAATTAAAGCTACTTGCTGATGGTGGATATATGTGAATATGCCAGTTTAATATTAAATAGATGACACTATCTACTTCATAAGGTTGTTTACCTCAAAAATAATCCCAATTATAGGTCATATTCTTCTTTATTGACTTTGAAATGAAACTTGTAGAAAATTTCAATATAATGCTGCTGCTTGCTTATACGTATGCTGTTAGATAAGACCAATTTATATATTAATTTTTTGTAATACCCGTCAATAAGTCTTCAAGTGGTTTCTCACGTGAATATATATCATCTGCAATTTACATGCAATATAAATATTTAGATATTAAATCTTTTTCTAGATTATAATGTACAACTCCATAT